AGGACGTCACCTCAGAAAACGCCAGTGTAAGGCTTTTTTGCGTTAGACAGGTTTGCTTGTGCGGGTGCGTGCGTGCGTGCGTTCATTTTTCTGGGCATGGGTTGTAATTTCGACAGTCAAACATCTGCACGCCCCGTCTTGTAATCCGTCCACGAGGCGGGCGTTGACTGCAGGCACCAGCACGAACACATGTATGTGGCAGGCACCGACACCCGCGCACCCACGTTTATTTTGTGGGAATTCGATTTTTGCTCCACCGCCTGCTGTTGTGGATTACCGTGCACGAACGCGCCGCCCGCCCACATGCTTCCTAATCCCCCCACCTGGGGTCGTCAACATCCATGTCCAAAGTGCCATGTCCTCGTCCCCCTCGCTTCCCCCCACCCCGTCCCTCTTTACGCCTCCGCATTCTCCATGCCGCCTGTCCCAATTGTACAGGCGCTCCCCCGCTACGAACACCTTTCATTCTACAGTCCTCTTCTATACAGACAGCTCTATTGTTATCGCAGTTGTATCGAAAATCATCCATCAATGTTACGAATTTGGACGATTCCGTGTCGCAGGCCTGTTTTATTTTTTCACTGAAATAGGTGAATAGTGAATTTTCCCATCTCAAGCAAAATAGTGTCACACTAAAGTGCCTTTAGCAATGCATCGTGCGCGAGTTGCCTTCACCGGCCTGTCTGCCTTCGTAGGGGAACTCGTGGGTCTCCCGTTTTCCGTGCGGTCCCCGTCTATAACCCTTGCTCGTGGCCACACGGCGAATGCCAATCAGTGATCGATATCGCTCTTCCGAACGAGCCTTCCTTTTAGCTCAACGTAAAGGCTACCCCTGAAGCTAGTGTCGATATGACATACTGCAACCCTAAAACTTGTTGTGTTGTTCGGGGACAGATCATGTTTGGCACGCGTGGATGGTCTGTTTAGTTCTGCCAACCACTGCACCCAATCTGGGCACTAAATAGCTGCCCGGCTCGGACAGTGGACTGGTGACCTGGGAGGGGGAAAAGAGAGAGAGAGAATGCGGTCGGCTTTGGGGGGAAGGGGGGGGGACTGCGTCCCCATGGCAATTAGCGGACTTTCCTCACTATATAGCGATCTGGTGCGCCTGAATCTATAACGGAGGGCTACCAACGGACTGAGAGTCGGACTTTAACACTCCCACTCAGTTGGAATTCAGGCCACCTCATTGTCGTTTTGGTGAAGCGCTGGCCTGTCGTGTGTGTGGCACGCGCAGACGGGCTGTTTGGTTCTGTCAGCCAATGCACCCGATCCCACCTCCGATCTGCTCTGACACTGGATCCAAGATTGTGAGGGAGAGAGTGTGCGCTAGGTGCTGCGCA